AAAACTGTCAATATTATGATATGCAAGTAATTGGCCACATTTTATATGATAGGGTTCTAATAGTCTGGTTGATAGGATGCAAATGTTTTACAGCACAAATGTTAATAACCTATCATCAAACTCAACTTTTGTTTTGATAATTGTAGATAGTGAAAGTTGTAGCAGGAAATTCTTTACAAATCATTGATGACTTAACAGCCTATGACATATACATTTCATTGCTGATTAACTTCAACCTTATCTCCTGTCAAGAACCATGCTGCAGAATTTTTTGTCATTAGATATCCAATTACAGTGTTACCGCACAGGAACAGAAAGTTATAAATAATCTGATAATGTTATTCATATTAGTTTTTTAAATACCAACTGTTCTGAGATTAAAGTAAATATGAGTTTTTAACAGAGTAATCAAATCAGTATAATATAAATATTTTGGTATCTGCATTGGTATATGGTAGTTTATTTATTTAAAAATTCTTTGGTGCCTGTATTCATATATCACATTTAAGATGATGCAGGCATAACAGTAACACAACACTCTACAGTGTGTGAAAGGTGAGGATTCATCACTTAACAAGTGGGAATTTTTCAAAGCTATTAACGACATTTGACATTATTTAGAGATTTTTTCAACGTGTACAATTTGGAAAACACAAAATAAATTCTGATACTTTTTTTTCTAAATAATTAAGCAAGAGTGTCGGTAGTGTCAGTATGAAATACCTGTTATCAAATCATAAAATGAAATAAGTGTACACTCATCGATTGATAATCAATAAAATAAATCATATTGGTGGTAGTACATGATTATTTTTAATGTTAGCATTTACATATCAACAGAAATATATTATTTACCTGCTTAATCTTTGAAAAAATGAAACCAATAAAAAATCAATCAAATCAATCAAATTTTGAAAAAGAAATTAATTTTTGAGTGAGGCCAAAATTGAGGCCAAAAATTTTACAGAGGTCAAATCTGAGGCCAGGCCAAAATTTGGCTTGAAGCCAAATTAGAGGCCAAGATAGAGGCCAGGCCAACTTAGAGGCCAGGCCAGGCCAGGTTTTAGAGTATACGATACTCAAGGTCTTGACCTTCTCGCGATTCACGAGCTTTATTGGAATGTCATTAATTTTATGCAAACAGAAACAGCCATCCTCGCTAAGTCCAGGCTTACAGACTCCAACAATAATGTGCGGATATGGAACAGCAACAAATTCCCGTAAACAAAATTGAATAGATTATGAATTGTTTACGGAAATGGGAATTTTAGGCTGTGTGCACATATTTTTTATACGTTTGTTAATTTGATATTTATATCTTCTTTAATTTTTCATTTCCACCACACATTTGTAATGTCGAGATAAGGCTTAAAGAGTTACGAGGTGATGCTTTATAACATGTGCGCTTTATGGAATGATTCATGGGTTCAGGCCCTTACCATGCACATCTATAAATTCCGTAATTTTTTTCAGTTTTCTACTTGAAAAACGAAATTAATATATCAAGAAAAACGAAATTATTAAAAGTAAGAAACGAAATTATTAAATAAAGAAAAACCAAATTATTAAATAAAGAAAAACCAAATTATTAGATATATCATTTCGTTTTTCTTTATTTAATAATTTGGTTTTTTTTATTTAATAATTTCGTTTCTCTTTATATATTAATTTGGTTTTTCTTTATTTAATAATTTCGTTTCTCTTTATTTGATAATTTCGTTTTTCTTTATATATCAACTTCGTTTCTCTTAATACATTAATTTCGTTTTTCTTTATTTAATAATTTCGTTTTTCTTAATAAATTAATTTGGTTTTTCTTTATTTAATAATTTCGTTTCTCTTTATTTAATAATTTCGTTTTTCTTTATATATTAATTTTTTTCTTTATATATTAATTTCGTTTTTCTTTATTTAATAATTTCGTTTTTCTTTATTTAATAATTTCGTTTTTCTTTATTTATTTTTGGTTTGCACTATTGGGCTTCCGTAGAGTTGTAACCGCCAACACTGGTACATGTATGATACAAAATACGCATTTCTGTGAGTGTCTCTATTACTATTGTTGGACATACAAAAGTGCAAGTTCAATTACCGGAATACAGTTATATACATAAGGATGGAGAACCGGACGGAAGTCTACTCTTGTTCGCAATAAGATAACATCCAGGACATTTGTTCCTTTTAATTATCTATCACTGTAAGTCAGTTGAACGTGTTAAATTCCAGCTTTGCAATCTGCTATGTACCTCTTATAAAATGTATGATTTTGTAAAATCAATACAACCTTGAAATGACTGATATTTGTGGCATTTTTATTTTTCATATGTAGACATGCATGATGGGTTGTTGTGCAAACGTGTGCATTATTATTATTAATAATATACATATATAATATATAAACTCATAAAACTGTATTTGTAACATTAACACGCAGGCACGTAGCAACAGGGGGGGGGGGGGGGGGCATTTTTTTCCCAACATTACCTTTACTATTGAAAATGTCCATTGAAAAGTTGGCCACTACCCCCCACCCCCCTCCCCGAAATATGTTTTTCGAGTTTTGGCAATTTCCCCTTTTTTTAACAAAATAAATTTTCTCTGGCTGCCCCCCCCCCATTTTCAAAAACGATGCTACGCGCCTGACACGAGACAGCAAGAGTCTGTGCTAGAGGATAAACAGAGTTCCACTTCTGCCTTATGTATAATAAACAGACATAAAATCTATATTATATAAATAAAATGGACGTTGAAACATGTGTATCATAACGCAAAAGATAGAATTTGAAACAATTCAATGTAAAAATCATGGCCTGGTGATTTCTTTAAAATACCGACCTAATGATCATGATCATTTGATTGCATAAATGGACTCATATGTACTGGAAATGTAACTCAGAGATTTTCATATCAAGTATTTGGTCATCTACAACTGCGTAATCAAAATAATTAGTCAAGTATTTTAAACAAAAATTATCTGAAGATTATATCAAAAAGATGCAGGAGTTTTTGTATCTTACGTCTATATAATGACCTGATTTGAAAAAAAAACAACTAATTAGCCACACATTGAACGTTGACTGACAATATCAAACAGTCTGTTATGCAATTATTTTTTTGCTGATTAATCTATAGATTAATGGTAATCTGTTTAATTTACAGCGACTCAAGATAATTGGGACAGGTCCACAGGTCGGGGAATGATCTCTCTTCTAAGGCACCTGATCCCACCCTGATTGATTCTATTCCTATCGCTTTGCTCTGTAACATTTAATATTACTTAAAGCAGGATTACTGTTTGTTACCTTGACATTTGATAAAGGAAGCTATCTAAAGAACTAGGTTCATTTTATGGCGAAAATGGCCCTATTAATATATATACTAATTTACTGTCTAACCCTCCATGTTCCGTTTCAAACATCAAAATAAAGTAGAGTCTTCAATTTGCATTTTCTATTTTTAATGTTTCCTAAAAGTCCAAGTATTAAAACGTTGCTTTATGAAATTGAAATGGTATTAAATTTACCAAAAAGGAATAATTTTACTACTTTAAGCCGCATTAAAGCTTTATGAAATTGCAATTTTCTAGAAGGGTATAGAAAATTGGTTAATTTGCGTACTTCAAGCAGCGTCACGGCTTTATGAAATTGCAATGTTCTTGAATTTTACAGAAAATGTGTTAATTTTTGTACTTTCAGCAAAGAAAAAACTCTGAGCGTACTCCTTGATCCAAAAACTAAAACATATTTTTAATCCTCATAGATTGCATATTTTAGAGCAGACTTTGTGCTCTATATGAAATACTGAAAAAATCACTCAATTTGGGCCGTTTTTGCAGCTTTTTTTTGATACTCAGTATAAAGCAATTCAGACGACTCAGTGCATGGCTTGCAAAACAATTTCGTCATTTTGAATATGTTTGCAGTCACCAATGTTCTAAATGATGTTTAATCTTAAACGAACATTTAACCATTTCACTTTCAGAAATCCACGGGGCCAAAAAGGTCCTAGATGAACCTTTTTAAGGACGTTCGATCCTAAGTTTTTGAGCGGATTTTGGCCCTGTCCTTTATTTATAAAATTCTGCATCATTTTTGAGTTCTAACATTAAATCGATATCTGAATTCAACAATACAAATTGAACTTCATTCAATGAAAAAACCGCGATTAAATTCCATTCAAGTATAATTAAGCTAGGAACTATATTTTCTGTTTTCTGGCGGAAGGCTTTTTTTTAGGTGAAAATGATCTGTTTTTTCCCTTCTGAACCATCGCAGTACTGTTAATTTTAGATTCCTATTTTTCCATGCTGGATGCACACAAAGCTGGTTTTTTTTTTTTTTTTTTTTTTTTTTTTTGCAGTGAAATGTGGTATGCTGGTTCTGAAATATCTATTAAATGATTTTTTATAAATTCTTTCAACGAAGTGTGACAAATATAGTATATATATTCTGAAAACCCGGGAAAAAATTGAGCCAATTTTAAAGTAGAATTGACACTTTTTTCAGTAATATTTGAAAATTTACAACATATATCCCCACTTTTGATGTTCTTTTCTGAATATTTAGGATAATTTTGACCTTTTTGCTTAAATTCAGAAAAAGTTTAAGACTTTAACAAATTTTTTTGCTTATTAAATTTTCAATGCCAAAAAATCAAATTTTATTAGTGCAGAAAGGTAAAAAAATTGATTATGCGAAGCAGTTTGAAATTTTTTCTTAGTCACAATTGAAAGTGCCTTTTTAACTTATAGTTCATTTTGTTTCATACTTTCAGTGGATAAAAATATAGGAGGGAAAACTTCGAAGATGTTATTTTTAATTAAGACACAAATTTCAGTGCAAAAAGGTCATATTAAATGTACTGTAACACCAAAAGAAGCATATTGACCCACATTTTTTGATTTGAATTTTAATCAAGCTATGTATGTAGAAATTAAAAATAAACTTTAAAAAAAAATTAAGACTTTAAATATAGGATTCAACGTCGTTAAAACCGTTTTATTGACCGATCAATGTATTGTATGTAATGAGGAACGATCACTGTGGTCTGATGCAGGTATTATTCCATATCCAAGAATGAATATCAGGAATTGGCGGATCCTGTTTCTTTTCGTGTAACCTAGCACACATTAAACATAAAGCCTTCCCCCAGTTAAATCTGATGCCCCAGTACTTATCTCTCTCTTGTAGATACTGAGAATAAAGCGTTTCGTTTGACCCAATTCGGTGGAGGTCCTTAGCTAATTCTGAAGGCGAAGAATAATCCAATATGTTAATAAATGTTCCTTTGGGGATATATTCGAGAACGTTTTGAGGTCCATTGATGATAGGTATCATGGTAAGATTATGAAAGAAAAAGTTGAATAATTTTTCCGATGTGTAATCTTTGCATATTGAGTTCTCAACCGCAAGGTAGAACTTATATTCCTCCGCGAACCTCATGTGGCACTCTGTTATTAGACCTGTTGGCCTACCACATTTTAGCTTTCCACATTTTCCATAGATATCAACATCAATATATTTCTGAAGCTTTTGTATGTAGTCTTCCCGTTTTGAAGGCGTTTTACAATGACTAACTGCCCATGCAATGGCTTTTTTCTTTTTTCGAAATATTTCTGAGTAGTTTCTTTGAAGAGGAATTTCTCTTTTACCAACTTTTCCATAAAAAACAGTGATATCCGAATCCCTTCGATATGTCATTGTCCAGTTGAATTTATCCTTCCATTGTTGAGGTACAGAATATCGAAATGGAGGCTCGATTGAAAAAAATGACCAAATTTGTCCTTCTTTCTTTATCGGCACCTGTGCAGGTAGATCCTGACCAAAGAAAATGATGCTCTTTGAAGTATCGTAGTACTTGTTTTTAGTGTACACAAAACATTCATGTTTTAACTGTGGACAAGTTGTAGAATTCAAAGTTCTATATATATGTTCATTTTTTATCCAAGGCGCTTTGTTATGAAACGTAATGTTGTACCTAGGTTTGCCTTCATCTGTTGTTTTAGCATTCAGTTTGGTCCACACTTCCTTCATCATTTTAATTGCATTACTTTCTCGAAAACTGAAAGTTACTTCTGGGTAATACCGGATGTTGTAATATGCATAGAAAAGAAGGAGACACAAAGGTAAACCTAGTATTACTCCCCTACTCCTTGCATAACGATCTTTTTGTCCCATCTCTGTTTTTCACTCACAAACTGTGGCTACATAAACTAAGAGGAAAAAAACAGCTCACTAGTAAATATAACCTTGTGACTTTTTCATTCAGTAAAACTATATATCAAAATAAATACACTGAAGTTTTAGCAATCCTAAGTTAAAATAATAAGCATTTTCACGTCAACTTAATATCTTAAAATTAATGATTTTTGTCCCCCACCCCCTTTCGCGAAATCTCATTCGTCTGTCCGTCTGTCCGTCAGTCTGTCTAGCTGTCCGTCTGTCCGTCCGTAACAAAAACTTTAATCCTGCTCATAACTTTTGATGAAGAAGAGCTTTGATTTTCATATTTCACATTTGTATTCCTTGTGACAAGACCTTTCTTTGGATACCACCAAATTTGACCTTTTGATCTTGACCTTGGAGTTTGACCCACTTTTACACAAAAATTCCGAACTTTTACTTTGGCCATAACTTTTGAATGATAAATACTAGGACTTTCACATTTCACATATGTATTTGTTGTGGCCAAGTCTTTTATAGGACACCAACAATCTTGACCTATTGAGCTTTACCTTGACCTTGGAGATTTCTGTACTTGTGAAAAACTTTAATCTTGGCCATACCTTTTGAACGGTAAGGGATAGGGCTTTCATACTTCACAAATGTAATTCTTGTGAGAAGACCTTTCATAGGATACAAAGAACTTTGACACTTTGACCTTGACCTTGGAGTTTAACTTACTTTTTAAAAGCAAACCTTGACTATAACTTTTAAAGGGTTAGGGTTAAGGCTTTCACATTTCACATATTTAATCCTTGTGACAGGACCTTTCATTGGATGTCAAGAATGACCTTGACCTTGGAGTTTAACCTACTTTTAATAAAAATATTTTAGGTAATAATATTTTATTCAATTTGCAAAAGAAAAGTTTAATCTTCGCTATGTTGCCATACAAGGTCATCAGTGTTTCACAAACACATCTTAATTGTTCCTTATCTTGAGAAGAGATATGGCTTTCACATTTGACATGTGCATTACCTGTGACAAGATGTTTCCAAGCATGCTATGATTTGTGACCCATTGACCTTGACCTCCACGACTGACCTTATATTTTTATCAAATAATTAACAAATAAAAGTAAAATGACCCAAATACTATCTAATCGTTTATTTATTGACTTGGCCTTTCAAAAGTTTGCTTTGTTCACAATTATAATAAATCATTTCAATCAATGTGGCACACAACCTCAACACCTTCTGACACTAGTCTTTATAATTAAAGTTTTGTTTAAGGATTATTCATTATTAAAAAAGATCATACTTGAGGTAGTTTTTGACTATAGGAAATATTCAGAATATATTTGCTTATATGCCTTATATATTTAGGTGTAAGAGATTTAAAAGACCAGATCTTTCTTTCCTCATCACAACTACACAACTTTAAATAGAAATGATAAACTGCTCTTGAAAACTAGCAGGGACTGCATTTTTGCTGAAGGTACGTAAATCGTGGCTAAGGAATTAAGGAATGCAACTTATAATTTACAGACAATGAAGATAGGCGTATTTGGCGGGTGATCTGCAGGAATCATTCTACGAAACATATGGTTTAAATGACCATGATTTGGTTGGCTGACCTTAGCTGGTCAGATTTTTAAAACAGTCAAGGTTTTCTTTTTCATTTAGTTTGAAATACCTTGTGAGATTGTAACATTTACGACCGTTTTTCTTGGGAGGTACAATAACACAGTAATGCATCACAAACAATATGTGTTTCTGAAACACTGATGCCCCCGTATGGCAACATAGCGAACATTAAACTTCTTAAATGCAAATTAAATAATATATTGGTACCAAAATTAGGGTATTCTCACTGGAAATACAATTGTAAAATATGAAAGTAGGCCACGGTTAAAGTTTTTTCATAAGTACAGAAATCTCCAAGGTCAATGTCAAAAGGTCAAGGTAATTGGTATCCAATGAAAGGTATTTCCACAAATAATACACATGTAAAGAATGAAAGCCCTAGCCCTAGTCGTTCAAAAGTTATGGCCAAGGATAAAGATTTTGAAAAGTAGGTAAAACTCAAAGGTCAAGGTCAAAGGGTCAAAGTTCTTGGTATCCAATGGAGCGTTTTTTTTCAGAAGAATTACATATGTGAAGTATGAGAGCACTAGCCCTTGGCGTTCAAAAGTTATGGTCAAGTTTAAGTTTTTTTTTATAAGTATGGAAATCTCCAAGATCTAAAAGTTAAGGTAATTGGTCATTTAAAAAGCAGGTCAAACTCCAAGGTCAAAGTTCTTGATATCAAATAAAACTATTATAAAAGGTCTTCTCTGAAGAAGTAGATATGTTAAGTATGAAAGCACTAGCTCTCACCGTTCAAAAGTAATGAACAAGTTTCTTCGTAAGTACAGAAATTTCCAAGATCAAGGTAAAAAGGTCAAGAATGTTGGTATCCAATGAAAGGTCTTTTCCACACAAAAAACATATATGGAGTATAATTGTCCTGGTATCTGCTGTTCAAAAGATATGGCCATAACAAAAGTTTGGCAATTTTCTGTAAAAGTGGGTCAACCTCCAAGGTCAAAAGGTCAAATTTGGTGATACCCAAAGAAAGATCTAGTCACAAGGAATACACATGTAAAATATGAAAATCATAGCTCCACTAAATCAAAAGTAATGGGCAGATTAATGTTTTTGCGGACAAACAGACAAATAAACTGAGAGACAGACAGACGGGTGGACACGACAAACACAATATACCCCCGAAATTTCATTTACGGGGGCATTAAAATAACGCCCCAAGCGATGCTCGAACCAAAAAAATTCACTTCTAGTGCACTTAACAGGTAGAACTCTTACATGTACTTACAAAATTCTGCACATACAGTTGATTTTAAAAAGACAAAGAAACACCACATTTACACAGCTGGAATTTTTTTTTTTGGAAAAAAAGTTGATTTTTTATGGTCCCTGAGTCTTCTCCCCATTTTTTGAAATCGTATTTTCGTTTCTTTCAATTAAAAATACACACAAATAACCTTTTAAAACCGTGTGGAGAAAACCCAGAGATAATTTTTTTTTGAAAAAAATCGTGTTTAAAAATATACCGTGTTGTAGAAAAAGTCTGATCTAGGCAATTTTCAAGTTATATCTTTAGAAAATCAAAACTCACTTTCTGGAAAATATTTTCCTTTCCCATTTCACAGGAACCCGAAAAACAAACAAATGTTAAAATTTCATATGACACGTCGATAAAATTTCAGTTTTCAAATATGCCCAGATTCCTACCGAATGCCAATCAAATGCGCCCTCGTTCTTTTTTTATGTTTAAAGATGCAAATATAATTGATGCAATATAATTTTATTTCTGAAGTCACGGCGCTTAAAAGAATTATATTTTTTCCTTTATTCGCTTTGCTGAATCAAAATATCCTTTTGTGTTTAATTGTTGTAGCATATTAAAGTATTCTAATAAGTGATGCAAATTATTTCTTTTACGTAATGTATAATTGGTTAATCGGAACACTGCATGGATATTCTATGTCGACCGTAATTTGATTTGCTAAGCAATATTCAAAAGCCGGTATAAAGAAGAATAATAGACCTGTGTATCATCTCCCAGGGGTGTTTGTTGACTTCTAAAATAAGCCCCAATTTATCATTTCGAGTAATATAAATTTCACACAAATGTACCAGGGGTCATCAAAAAGTTAGCGAACTCTCTATATTTACAAAACTACAATTCAGATCAGAATGAAATTTGGCACATGTATAGTCATGCACATGTTCTAAAAATAGCATATGAAAAGCGTTGATTTTTTTTTTTTGGCATCATTGGGACGTCACAATGTGAAATATGTTGGTGATTTGTGACGAAAAATGGTTGCCACAGTCTTACTCGAGCAACGAACAGCTATAACGTTTAACGTATAACTTGAGAATTACTTTGAAGTATCTTATAATAATTTGTACAAGGTTTATGACGACAGTAGACATTCCTTACGACAGAAGACATTCCATACATTCAATCAAAATTTGGATTGACTGTTAAAGTGAAGAAAGGAAGATGATTAAAAATGACGTTTGTTTTGTAGCCCAGATACTAAAAGGAAAAAGACACGCATAAGAGCATAATATGCAAAACTTTTCTGACTTCGTGTCCGAAAATTCTGAAAATCGGTCAGATGTGTCTTTTGGTTAGTAAAATCGCTGATCAAAACTACTTAGCAACGAAATGTATGGCGTCACGTAGGGGGGGGGGGTGATAAAAATCCAAAAACATGTGAATGTTGATCATGTCAATTTTGTGATCACATCTTGTAGTGCCACACGATACAATAGAGTAATAAACATTGTTTTTGCATATTTGCAGTATTCATAAATTTCTTGGAATCATGGTCTGGCTGACGGAAGTTACTTCGGTCTAGTAATTGAATTGCATAAGTAAATAAAAAGGCAACAACATGCTGCTGTGCAGTTTGTTTTTAACTTTTCAACCAAAAAAAAAACTCCAAGACAAGCCTGACATAATCTCTAAAAATAAAACGATTTTAAGTTGTCATAGAGTAACTTAAAAGGTTTCCAACAAACCATGACTGTGACGTTGGCGCGTAACAACGTCACATCAAGATGGGGCTTTTCATTATGCTACCTCGCTTATCTTGGATTCTGTAAATTCTATCCTAAATCGAAAATTTGTAGGATTAATTGGGTGGGAGGATTTGTTGGCTTTAGAATGTTATGTAGCTACTCTCAACCATTAAGACTACCGTCAGAAGGCTTGAATTATAATGATAAAGATAAATGCTCTGTTGAACCCAATTAACAGGAAAATCAAGGCTGTTACTGATGCGCAAGAGAGAGGATGAGAATTTTTATTATAATTTTGGGGGTATCGACGACATATCAATTTGAATAACTCAGGAATTATCAGTCAAAATCACACAAGATTTTGGTAACTTGTTGAATAAAGTTGAATTAAAATGTTTGATAAGAATACTAGAAAACATATTGGAAATAATAGTTTTAATTTAATTCAAAAGTTTACTATGCGTTTCTTTTCATTTCAGTATAGTATTTAAGAGGCCCCTTTGGTTATACAGCGTTCATTCCAGCTTTATTACCCACATGGAAACATGTCTGAATCTATTTTAGCTCACATGAGCCGAAGGCTCTATTAAGCTTTTCTGATCAAAATGTATCCGTTGTGTGTCGTCGTTGTCATTGCCGTTGTTGTTGTTGTCGTGGTTATTGTAAACATTTCACATTTTCATCTTCTCAAGAACCACTGGATTAATTTCAATCAAACTTGCCACAAAGTATCCTTAGGTGAAGGGAAGACGGATATGGAAATAACGAACAGCATTCGATATAAAAGTCCATAGAATAATACAAAATAAGAGCAGAGCAAACACAGACCTCCGAAACATCAGAGGTGGGATCAGGTGCCATGGAGAAATGAGCATCCCCTGCCGACCGGTGACACCCGCCGTGTACTCCTTGTCATGATCGGGAAATAACGGAAAAATCCGTCGTTAATTTAATGTATAAATAATGGACTTACAATTAGTATGAAAAAGCGTCAGTAGGCATTTGAGTTGATGATAAATTGTATTTGCTGACAAGGTCATTGTATCGACCACAGAACTTACGAAGTGATGACTTTCAACGAGACTGCCGATTTTCTTGTTTCATCAACTTGCTTGTCAATAATTTACCTCGTTTTAGATATGTTTCATACGTAGAACATGCTCTTGCGTATCGAATCAACTGAGATATATACACTCCGCATGCAGGTGAATGTAGGTATATTGCTTCATAAGTAAGGGAAGTTGACAATAGAAAAGTTAAAGTCATCACATTTATCATATAACATGGTTGTTAGATTACCATTAACGTCTTTTTCAAGTGAAATATCCAAGTATGAAACAGATGTGTCAGACTTTTTGGTATCTTTTATCTCAAGCTCTCAAGGATATATCGTATCGACGTAGGAGTGGAAATTACCATTGTTAATTGATAATACATCCTCGATATATCTAAATGTCGATTTGAAAGCCACAGCAAGTGTTTTCCTCTTTTCACGCATAAGATTTTGCACAAATTCTGCTTCATATGAATACAAAAATAGGTCTGCTAATAACGGAGTGCAATTGGCACCCATGGGAATTCCAATAGATTGTTGGAAGACCTGGTCTCCAAAAACCACATAGATATTGTCAATCAGAAACTCAAGCATCTTTTTGATGCCAACCTCAGGGTACTTTTGTGTGCAATCAGGATCTGTTTTAACAAAATAATTTTGCAATTAAATGACCAATGACTAGGTAAGTAAATTTACGATTTCCATTTTATTGAAAAAGCAGCTGTCAATACGAGGGCTGTTCAATAAATAATGTCCTGAACTCTATGACATACAATACAGATATCATATGACATTAAAATTGGCTTTCTCTCATAATTGAATCTTTAATGAATTTATAACAGTTCATGTGACCACTTTTCATCACATAGTTTCATTGTGAGAAGCTGGGAAACAAGGGCTTTTCGAGACACTGCATTATAAATGAATGGTAAAGAATCGGTAAACTAGAGCGAAAATAAAAGCTTAAACAAAGCTGCTGTAAAACTTGTTAAAAATCCCAAAGAAATTTTCACTGAAATATGTGACATTTACAGAAACCAATACCTGATTTATAGACAAATGAGCAGGTGGATTTCAATGATAAAAAATCATAAAATGGGCATCAAAAATGGGTACCGTCCTTGCCAACAAAAAGTTATAACACTTATGTACTGTTTGCCAAATTTCAACAAAAAATACTTGATGATGTAGGATTGACTTAAAGACAAATGGCAAATCTGATAGACATTACATCGGGGGTAGTTTACACTGTTTTTAAGAAATATTTGACGGTAAAAAAGCTTACTACTCAAAGGTTACCCTATATTTTGAAAAATGAGTGAAAACGACAGCGTGTATGAATGTCTTAACAATTATTTTAAAATATCAATAATTGGTTTTTGGATATTCAAACAGATAGTGGAACTTGAATCTGTTGCTTAAAATCCTCAAAACAAAATTTACCATAAGATGTACTTGACAAAGACAGAGGTGTGGCGAGAGCAAGGAACTGCAAGAGCACAAAGACAGATTCATATGCAATGTTCTTAAATATTAGTGGTTTGGTTGTTCAAATTCGTATTCGGGTAGACAGCTTAATTTCTGTATGAGGCTAGAAAACAATTTTTTTGCAAATAAATCGAAAGGTTTATTAGAGGAAGGACCCAGAATCAGGGATTCACTACATTAAATTTCTTCATGACAGCGTCTAAACCCACACGCCTTGAAGAGTAAAAGGGTTTTCGGGATACACAGATAGTTAATATTTTTTCACATTAACAATATTCGCTAGATCTTGGACCTTTTGACTTATTTCTATTTCCAAACTTGAAAAAAAAACACCTTTGATAAGGAAGAAACAAGTCCAGGAAATCATTGGATCTGCCATTTTCCAGTATACTAAGGGTCATACCCAAAAATGAGTTCTAAAATCAATAAGAAATTGGATAAAAAAGGTTACGGACATGTGTTGTAATTAAAAGAGATTAATAAGTAAAATAATGAAGACAAAATCATTGAAAGGCGTCTTTTGTTTCTTTCCGAGCACCGAGGACAATATTTATTGAACAGCCCTCGTAACATCAAAAAGTCTGGACTTTAATTTACCGTGGAGAATGGTTGTATATAAAGTTAAAAACTCGAAAGTTTTCAAGCTATTTATTTTGGTAAAATCTTGTGATTTCAAATTGTCCAAAAGTTCTTCGGAATTTTTGAGTATCCACATCTGATTCACACCACTTTTTGAATATATTGTTGCGCAGTACTCTTGAAGTTTTTCCTTTACTACTATCAATATCTTAGTGAGGATCAACGAAAGAGGCTCGGGTAAACATTAAATGTATCTTTGTTGGTAAGGATTCTTATGAAGTTTCGGAATCCATCTCCAAGGGGAGATAATTACGAATTTAACAAAAAAAATAAGGCACCATTGCAAAATCATCTTCTCAAAAACAAATGGGCCAGGAAATTTGAAACTCATGTGAATCATTATCAGATAGTGTAAATTGAAGTTTCTTTAATTCATGAGCTCTGGGAGTAAAGTACTGGTGGGACCACAATGGACGATCAATGTCATAGGAAAGTCTTCAAAAATGTTCTCAAGAACAGCAAGGCCATCATTGGACGTATTTATATAAAAGCATCCTCCGGTGGTGAAGATTCAAGTCTATACAAATCATGACCCCCCGGGGGTAGGTTGGGGCCAAAATGGACGATCAAATTTTTACATAGGAATATATAGGAAAAATCATCTCCACAACAGCAAGGCCATGATTTGTCATATACATATGGAAGCATCTGCAGGGGATGTAGATTCAAGTAAGTTCAGATCATGATCCCCGGGGGGGGGGGGGGCAGAATTGGCGATCAAATCTTTACATAGTAGTATTTTAGGAAAATCTTCTCAAGAATAGGAAAGCTATATTTGGTCTTATTTATATGGAAGCATACTCAGATAGTACAGATTCAGGTTTGTTCTAATCATGAACCCCAGGGGTAGGGAAGATTCACATTGTGAAAATTCAAAACTGTAACGAAAAGTCACAGTTAGTAGAAAATTGTAAGCATCCTTTGTTAGTGTAGATTCAGTTTTGTTCAAATCACTCTTCCTCTCCCCTTTAGGGGTAGGTTGGAGCCACTTATGCGTTTAAGCTTTTCAATACTAAACTGATTTTTTTTCAGCCAATACTCAGGTGAGCGACGTGGACCCTGATCCTTTTATTATCTGCAGGACGAATATTTCGTTTATAACTTAAAATATGGCATGGCATTGACTCAAGGTCACATCCTCTTGCAAGCGCGTTTCATGAAATATGCCTACGTGACAAGTCTGTGTGTTTTTAACGCCACTAACTCACACAAAAACACTCATTAATTGTTTGTACGAGGGCTGTTCAATAAATAATGTCCTCGGTGCTCGGAAAGAAACGAAAGACGCTTTTCAAGGGTTTAGTTTTAATTATTTCACTTAATATTCTCTATTCTTTAAAACACACGTCCATGAGATTTTGATCCAACGTCTAGTTTTTTTTTCAGAACTCAATTTTAATTTGAGTATGGCCCTTCGTATACAGGAATATGACAGATCCTATGATTTCCTGGACTTGTTTTTTTTTTCTTTCTGAAAGGTGTTTTTTCATGTTTGGAAAATTAAACATGTCAAAGGGGGAAGGATCTGGAGAATATTGTTGCTTTGACTAAACATTAACTTCCTGTTTATCCCCAAAACTCCTTTACTCCTTAGGGCGTGTGGGTTTGGACGCTGTCATGAATTTAATGTATTGGATTCCTGATTCTAGTTCCTTCCTCTCATAAACCTTTCGATTTTGTGGCAAAAAGTTTGCTTTCTAGACTCCTCCAGAAATTGAACTTCCTCCCTGAATACGAATTTGATCAACAAGACCACTAATGTTTAAGAAAATGGCGTATAAATCTCTCTTTGAGCTTATGCAATTCTTTGCTCTTCTCAGACCTTTGCTGTTTTTGTCAAGTACATCTTATTGTAAATTTGGTTTTGGGGGTTTTAAGGAATATATTTAAGTTTCACTATTTGTTTGAATTTCAGACAAATGTTGATAACTATAATTTCTGAATTTTTTCAATGATTGTTTAGATATTCCTACACGCTGTCGTTTTCACTCATGTTTCAAAAGATAGAGTGACCTTTGAGTAGTTGGCTTTTTTACTGTCAAACTTTTCTTTAAAACTGTTTAAAATACCCCAAAATGATGTCTATCAAATTTCAAAGTCAATGAAACATCTTCAGTGATTATTTGTTGAGTTTTGGCAAACAGTACATTGGTTCTTATAATTTCTTGTCGCCGAGGACGGTACCCATTTTTGATATCCTTTATATCATTTTTGTTCATTGATATCCACCTGCTCATGTGTTTATAAAACAGAAATTGGTCGCTGTACATTGCAATTTCACATATTTGAGTAGATATTTCTTTAGGATTTTTAACAAGTTTTACAGCAGCTATAATAAAGCGTTTAATTGCAGTCTTGTTTACTAATTCTTTACCATTCATTTTTAATGCAATGTCTCGAATAGCTCTTGTTTTCCAGCTTCTCAAGAAAAAAAACTATGTGATGAAAAGTGGTCACATCAACTGTTATAAATTCATTAAATATTCAATAATGAGAGAAGATCAATCTTAACGTCACATGATGTCCATATTTTACGTCATATTCATGACATTATTTATTGAACAGCCCTCGTACACTGCCCGGACTTGTACAACTGTTGGAAGTTATTTTAGTATGTTACTCTCCTGCATTAGAGGTGCACAGTTACATTTTGTCGCTACTACTATCAGATATAGCAAGATACCATCGAATACGGCGGACAAGTTCTTTTTCCGAATGTTTTCAGCTGTAAACTACAACACTAATAACTTTTGTGAGGGTATCCTTTGACGTATACTAGTATTTCACTAAAGAGTCTAACCACCAAGATTTAATATGAACGGTTTAACTTTAACTTTTCAATCGTTAACATCCCTTATATGTGTAGAAATATATCCTAATAACCTGAATAGTTCAGGTGATTTGATAAACAAGAGAATTCTCTACGTAAGAACAAGTTCTAAAATGATTAATAAGCAAGTTGATGAAAATTAATTTCATTAATTAGACTTAGAAGAGATGAAAACATGGAGATAACGAACAATACTCAAAATCAAAAGGCCATAAAACAATACAAAAAAGGAGGAGAAGCAAACACGGACCTCCGAAACTCGTAGTTGGGATCAGGAGCCATGGAGAAGTGAGCATCTAATGCCGACCGGTCACACCCGCCGTGTGCTCCGTGCCATGATCGGGAAAAACCGAAAAATACGCTGTCAATTCAGTGCACAAACACTGGACTAACAATTAGTATGAAAAACGTCAGTCAGCATTTGACTCAATGATAAATTGTATTTGCTGACAATGTCATTGTATCGACCATAGAACTTACAAAAATATGACATTCAACGATGCTGCTGATATTCTTGTTTCATCAACTTGTTTGTTAACAATTTACCTCGTTTTTTTTTTAAATTATACATGCGTATCGAATCAACTGGGACATAAAAACTCCATATATAGGTGATGAAGGTATATTGCAATACAACTAAGGGAAGCTGACGAGAGAAAAGTTAAAGTCATCACGTTTATTATAGAGCTTGGTTGCTAGATTATCATTGACGTCTTTTTCAAATTGAATATCAAAATATGAAACAGATGTATCAGGCTCTGTTGTATTTTTTATCTTAAGCTCACCAGGATATATCGTATCTACATAGGAATGGAAATTACCATTGTTAATTGACAATACATCGTGGATATATCTAATTGTCGAGTTGAAGGCCACAGTAGGTGTGTTCTTCTTTTCACTGATAAGATTTTCCACAAATTCTGCTTCATATGAATACAAAAATAGGTCTGCTAATAAAGGGGCGAAATTTGCACCCATGGGAATTCCAATAGATTGTTAGATGACTGGAAGACCTGGTCTCCAAAAGCAACAAAGATATAGTCAATTAGAAACTCAAGCATCTTTTTGATGTCATATTCAGAGTACTTGTGTGTACAATCAGAATGTTCTTTAAAAAAATAATTTTGCAAAGGACCAATGACAAAGTAAGTAAAGAGCAAGAGCCACTTTGGGCCTTATTTGGCCCTGAGAATTTCTGAAAAATCAAAACCCCTCAGTTTAGGTTGCAAATACAGTTTTTATCACTTGGAGTGTTGTTGACCACGTATCTGTTAATTGTGACGTAATTATTCATCTAGTCAATGCATTATGACGTCATAAAATGCGTCATTTTACTCATATCCTGTAAATTCCTTTGAAAATGACTTAAAATTGATGCATTTTTTCAATATTTCACATAGAGCATAACCCCTGATCCAAAATATACAAATACATAATGAAAGCTCTGTTTCTGAGGATCAAAAAACATGTTTTATTTTTTGGATCGTGGGCTGTGCTCATATTTTAATTTTTTGCTAAAGGTAGTCAAATACGCATGTTTTCTGCAAATTTCAAGCACATTGCAATTTCTCAAACCTGTTTTCCAATAATTTCAAAACGAAATTGTAAAGTGAAAGCACTAAGTGTCTACTTTATTTTGATATATGAAATGGGAAAGAGGGTGATAGTTAAATAATTGATATAAGTACAGGGCCATTTTATGCATAAGATGGCTCTTGACCTTTATGAGTTCCACTTTTATTGAAAAAGCAGCTGTCAGTGATATTAAAAAGGCTGAACTTTAGTTATCGGGAGGAATAGTTGTGTATAAATTTGGAAAGTCGTACATTTTTAAAGCTGTTGGTTTTGGTAAATTCTTGTGATTTCAGATTGTCTAAAAGTTTCTTGCAATTTTTAAGTATCCTCTTCTAATTTTTACCACTTTTTGAATATATTGTTCCACAGTATTCTTGAAGTCTCTTCTTCACTACTATTGATATCTTAATGAGGAGTAAAAAAGAGGCTTGGTTGAACATTTACTGGATAAAAGTGATTCCAATTTAATTAAGGGTTTGGAAAAATAACTACGAATAAAACAAATCTTTAAACAGTGCACGGACCCCCGGAAATTACGGAAGTAGGATCAGATGCCTCACAGGAATGAACATCCTCTGTCGACCGGTCAAGTCCGTATAGATCTGGTAGACGTAATATTCAACCAAACTTAGAAATTCCTCCATCAACACTTCAAAGCGATTTATTGAATTATTGTATGTACAGTTGTGATATTGAACACTCTTTAGAAATAAATCCACATATATCAGAAAAAAAGTAGATAAATAAATTTTCTAATTGGCAAACGAATCTTTCATGACGGTTTGATGCACGTATCGTTCCATATCCAAGAATGAATATCAGAAATAGGTGCAGTCTGTCTACTATCTTGTAGTCTAGCACACATTGGACATAAAACTCCCTCCCAGGAAAACCTGTCACCCTGATATTTGTCCTTTTCTCGTAGATATTGAGAGTAAAGTGTTTCGTTTGATCCAATCCTGCGGAGATCCTTCGCTAATTCTGAAGGCGAAGAATAATCAAGAATGTTTATATATGTTCCATCTGGGATATACTCATGAACATTTTGAGGTCCATTAACAATGGGTATCATTGTCAGGTTATGATTGAAAAAGTTGAACAACTTTTCAGTTGTATAATCTTTACATACTGAGTTCTCAACAGCAAGGTAGAACTTGTATTCTTCCGCGAATTTTTTGTGACAATCGGTAACCCTGGCCGAACTTCTGCCACATTTGAGCTTCCCGCATGGTCCATATACATCAACATTAATATATTCCTTAAGTTTTTTGATGTAGTCTTCCCGTTTTGAAGACGTTTTACAATTACTGACTGCCCAGGCAACAGTCTCCTTCTTTTTTCGAAATATTTCTGAGTAATTTCGTGTCAGAGGAACCTGTCTTTTACCTACCTTTCCATAAAAGTAAGAGAAATCAGAATCCCTTCTATATGTCAATGTCCAATTGAATTTATCCTTCCATTGTTGGGGTACAGAATACAGAAATGGAGACTCAATTGAAAAGAATGTCCACATTTGTCCCTTTCGTCTGTTTGGAACTTGTGCGGGTAGGTTTTCTCCATAGAAGATAACACTCTTTGAAGAATTATAGTAGCTGTTCTTAAGGTACACAGAACATTTGTGTTTCAATGCATGATGTGGACATTTAGAGGAATCCAAAGTTTTAAATTCCATTGACATCCAAGAGGGCATGTTATAAAATACAATATTGTACCTAGATTTGACATCTGTTTGTTTTACAGCACTTTTTGAATTGCTAGACTTTTGATTAGCCGCTTTGCTTGTACTATCTCTTTCTGGTACGATGAACTTTAATTCCGGGCGGCTCGTCTTGAAATCGTATGATTGGTTTAGATCAATAAACCAGATGTGGTAAAATGCATACTGAAGAAGGAAGCACAAGGCTAGTACCGGTATCACGATTCTACATTTATCTTTTCTCATCTCTGCTTTTCATTCACGGTCAGTGTAACCACATCAACTGTCAAAAAGAAAAATCATATCAGTTTACAATTTTTAAGCATAAAAAATTAATGTTTTACATTCTATTTCATAAATAAAAATTAAAACACCGAGAGTTGACCCCAAAAAAATAAAATAAAATAAAATATAAACATCATATCATTCCTATAATACGAAGATTATTATAACACTATTTTTGCTGACATTGGCAAAAAGTTAAACTACTAAAGTCAAACGGCTTGATGTAAACCTATTGGGTTTGAGACAATTATTTTTAACAAGAAAATAAAAATAAGCTAATTAAAATGTACTCATGATAGAATGCACTGACCTATAATCCTATTGGCAAGTAGAAGTATAATACCTTTCCGTAAAAGTAAACAAACCCGTTAATCGGATTAAGGACACTGTAATCAACCAGGATGTTTATCTATCTTCGGACATCAATACAGGAACAGTAACGGAACATTGCAAAAACTTACTTTAACATTATATTAAATTTTGCACAATACCAGGACACTGAACTGAAGCTTATGTTTATATTATAATTTATTTTATAAAGTTCTAGGATTTTGACCAAATTTATTGTATAACTTGTTTACTTGAATCTGATTTGTTTGTTTCATATGTAAATGAGTATCATGTATTGTACATTATAAAATGACTAAAAAGTCTAACTTTACCAGGGCTCTAGCTCACTCTCTCGCTCTCATCTGGGCCGCACTTCTCAGAGCGGGGCTCTTCGGAGCTACGTTCTAGGAGGGATCGCGAGGCACTATACGATCACAAGCCATTTATGTATTGTACATTATTTAATACGATCTACGGCGATCTGGGGAGATTCTTTGCTCTTAACCACTATACGATCATTGTTTGTATTCTTTGATAATTTCATAACTGTTAAATAAATTCTTAGAAAAGACTATTTTCCTTCTCATTGGTTCACAAAACCAAATTTGGTGCCGTGACCAGGATGTGCGAGGTACTGGAAAATATCAAACTTGGAAGGGAAACATGGGAAGACAGGAGAAAATGGTGATGAAGTTAACGTCAGGTTCGTTGTCGCATTTTTATGGAATTTGAAAATTGACTGAATTTGTTTCGAAGTTTCTAACCAAATTCAGATAATATTGCAATACGTATCAAAGAAACATTGGATTTTATCGTGGACTGCATTTGAAGCATATTTTTTTTTCTATGACGTTGGTACATTGTATGATACCAAGGGCGGAGGAAACGTCTGATCCAGTGTCTTTGGGTCCGTCATATGTGTTTGTACTGATCCTGAATTAATTCGCTTAGAGAATGCGATTGTGAAGAGGATAGTACCATGTTTATGTTTTTAGTATACTACTGTGGAAATCACAAGAAGTCGTGGAAATTAAGAATACGACAGGTGATAACAGTCAATTAGACGATGTTTACAAATGAAGACGACGCTGGGAACTAATGATGTAATTGATTGCTGTTGCAGTATTTTACGAATTTATCATTGCTTTTGTTAATTACAATTTCAGATCTACGAGAGAATAAACTGTGAGACTGAACTTAAATAAGACGAACAAGGTATACTTATGACTTTTTATAATCACCAGAAGTGTTTCCATTCCATGAACTGATAATGCGTAACAACTTGCATCACCATCATCCTGCTTAAGCCAAGAAACCGAAAAGTACACATCCAATATGAGTGAAATAAAAGTGAACTTTCGTATATCCATAATTTAATATTACTATAACTGTATAATCCACCATATTCGTGATTAATCCATTTGATACTATATAGCAGTAAAACAAATTTGTACAAGAAGAAAAGAACCTTGAAACACCTTTTATATCCAATGACCATGATGAACACATTCTGATTACTCATGTAACTGTTCGTGAGTGTTCCCGATTTTGCGAAGGATTTACATAATCTGTTTCCTACCACAGTCATATGAACCAAGTGAAAATAATTTTCTTGTTTTAGTTTAGAAATTTCCTGCTGAATTTTCTTATTACATGAGGACGAATGTAAACCTATTGGGTTTGAGACAATTATTTTAAAAAGAAAATAAAAATAAGCTAATTAAAATGTACTCATGATAGAGTGTACTGACCTATAATCCTTTTGGCAAGTAGAAGTATAATACCTTTCCGTAAAAGTAAACAAACCCGTTAATCGGATTAAGGACAATGTAATCAACCAGGATGTTTATCTATCTTCGGACATTAATACAGGAACAGTAACGGAACATTGCAAAAACTTGCTTTAACATTATATTAAATTTTGCACAATACCAGGACACTGAACTGAAGCTTATGTTTATATTATAATTTATTTTATAAAGTTCTAGGATTTTGACCAAATTTATTGTATAACTTGTTTACTTGAATCTGATTTGTTTGTTTCATATGTAAATGAGTATCATGTATTGTACATTATAAAATGACAGTCTAACTTTACCAGGGCTCTAGCTCACTCTCTCGCTCTCATCTGGGCCGCACTTCTCAGAGCGGGGCTATTCGGAGCTACGTTCTAGGAGGGATCGCGAGGCACTTTACGATCACAAGCCATTTATGCATTGTACATTATTTAATACGATCTACGGCGATCTGGGGAGATTCTTTGCTCTTAACCACTATACGATCATTGTTTGTATTCTTTGATAATGTCATAACTGTTAAATATACGAAAGCCCAGAAGGCTCATTCGAGATTCAAGTTTCGAAATACGAGATTCAAAATTCGAGATTCGAAATTCGAGTTTCGAGATTCAAGATTCAGATTAACCAATCAAAAGGCTCATTCGAGATTCGAGGTTCGAAATACGAGATTCGAAATTCGAGTTTCGAGATTCAAAATCCAGATCAACCAATCAAATGCGGGTTCAACATTAATTACTCCCCTTTATTATGTTTAATCTATCAATAAATCGTTTAATATATTTATAACAAATGAGTCATTTGAATAAATTACAATGCAAGAAAGAGTGTTATATATATTAGAAAGAAAGTTAAATAATCATTTGATTTTTGGTCAGCAAGATATACTTCAATTTATATTATGACTTCTTAAATATTAAATAGAATACATAATCAGGAATATATATATTTTTGCATTGTCTACTATATATAAAGGATTGTTGACATAATAATAAAGTTATAAATAGTGACTAAAGATTAACAAAATCCTTGTAGCCTTGATAAATAAAAACCGAGTATATTTTAGTCTTTGACCATAACGCTATGGTCAGAGACTAAAATATAAAACCATAACGCTATAGTTCTGCAGCTAATTTAGACTAATCTACTGTTTGATATCAGATAAAATGAATGCTGCATTTATTCTAATTCATATTTGCAATCTGTATTGTATATATAATTGTTAATTAGTTCAAGAAATCAAAGCCTTAGATGAAGATAAGTAATTGAAAACTTTATTTTAATGTATTCCCTCTATTAGGAAAACGAGCGCGTTTTTTTTTATCAAGCCTACCTTGCCTTTCAAATTTTAAAGTAACATTTTCAGTGTCGGGAAAAATTGGCAGGTGTTTCCGGTAGGGGTGGGGATTTTGTTAATCTTTAAACACTATTTATAACTGTATTATTATGTCAGCAACCCTTTATATACAGTAGACAATGCAAAAATATATATATTTCTGATATATGTATTCTATTAAATATCTAAGAAGTCATAATATAAACTGAAGTATACCTTGCTGATAAAATATCCAATGATTATTTAACTTTCCTTCTAATATATATAACACTCTTTCTTGTATTGTAATTCAATCAAATGACTCATTTGTTATAAATATATTAAACGATTTATTGATAGATAAAACATAATAAAGGGAAGTAATCAAATGTTGAACCCGCATTTGATTAGTTAATCTGGATTTTGAATCTCGAAACTCGAATTTCGAATCTCGTATTTCGAACCTCGAATCTCGAATGAGCCTTTTGATTGGTTAATCTGGATCTTGAATCTCGAAACTCGAATTTCGAATCTCGAATTTTGAATCTCGTATTTCGAAACTTGAATCTCGAATGAGCCTTCGTATGGGCTTTCGTATAAATAAATTCTTAGAAAAGACTATTTTCCTTCTCATTGGTTCACATTGATTTCGCTCTGGACATTGTTAAGTCCACATTTGTCATCGTCGGGAAAAACTCAAGATTGGTTTGTTCTGTTCCTTTCTCCAACACCTGTTAGCTCCCTCGTTCTCATAAATAAATCAATAGACCTGTGAGGTTTGGCTAAAGGAATCTGTATTACCTACCCCCCAACCACAAACCCCAACACAACCCACAACCCCCCCCCCCCCCAAAAAAAAAAGAATTAATAAAATGGAAAGAAATTACACCTTTTACGGGGCGCAATTATATAGTCGAGGTAGAGAATTTAATTTCATGCATCGTTTTAGAAAAGAGAATTTCCATACCCTACGATGAATTTGATTGGATTGTAAATTTTCATAGTAGGAATGAAAACCAGCTGACTTGCAAGGGTGGTGTAGAAAGGAAAAAGTGGGATTACGACAATTCCTTATCGTATGCAATATTTAAAGGTCTCAAAAATCTTTGAATGAGAGTACTGTACTTGAGTTAAAGTTCATTAAATATATTTTATTACATAATTGTAACTTGCGAAGAATCTTATCACGTCGAGTTGACAGGCGCAGATAATCAGACTAAAGACTTAAGACGCCAAGCGTCGAGTCTGATCTAATTATTCACGCTCGTAAACGAGCATGATACGGCATTCGGATCAAGTGACTGTTTATGATAAATTTATTTTATACACCACCTAAAACTAGCAAAATATAGTTTTTAGCTCACCTGAGCCGAAGGCTCAAGTGAGCTTTTCTGATCACATTTTGTCCGGCGTCCGTCTGTCCGTCTGTCTGTAAACTTTTCACATTTTCGACTTCTTCTCAAGAACCGCTGGGCCAATTTCAACCAAACTTGCCACAAAGTATCCTTGGGTAAAGGGGGTTCAAGTTTGTTCAAATGAAGGGCCACGCCC